AATGGCTTTAAACTGAAAGAGAGTGAGTTTAGTTTAGATGTTAAGAATTTTTTCTTTTTACTCAGAGAGGGTGGTGAGGCACTGGAACAGGCTGCCCAGAGGAGCTGTGGATGCCCAATCCCTGTAGACATTCAAGGCCAGGTGGGGTGGAATCTGAGCAGCCAGATTGAGTGGGTGGCAACCCTGCACATGGCAGTAGGATTGGAACTGCATGAACTTGAAGGTTCCTTCCAACCTGAGCCATTATATGATGGTTGTGGGGAGAAAAAAAAAAAAAAAAGTTGATTTCAATTTTGAAGTCTGGATAATATATTTTCTCTAATTATGATATTTTCTCTTTTTACTGATAAGAACTCGTAAAAACAATGCTGAAATACATGAAAATAACAATGAAGTAGTATGCAAATAAAATGTTTATATGTACTTTTGCAATATTTCCATTTGTTTGAGGGGTTTGTTTCAACATTCTAATTTAACTGCTTGATTTTTAATGCATTTCAATCAGCCAGTAAATACAGAATATATACATATTAGAGTGGAGGGGTTTATAGACAGAATTTTCTTATTAAAGTTTGTAAACAAAATCCTTGAAAATAAAATGAGCTGACAACTATAATTGGAGCAGATGTGTAAAGTACCATTATAGCACATTGCACCATCGATTACGTGTCATGCATTCTGCCAGATATTAAGTGTTCTGACCTTTGTTATTAGTAATAGAGGCAGACACTGGGTATGTGAGAGACAGTCAGTGTAATGCATGGAAAATCTACTGGAGATGTGATTTTGTTAATGGTTGTGGAGCCTACTTTATCTCCTCTCTCTTCCTGAGCTATAAGTTTATGGAAAACTGGACATTCCATGTAGTGAAAAAACACATTGTGAAGTGCATGCTTTGTTAGAATAATATGTTCTCAAATAATTTATAATGGAAGATCTTATCAGCAAGCTTTACTGCATTTATGCATGTATTTCCCATTTTCCTCTGATCCTTAGTAATAATGTGGAAGAAGTGGAATGAAGCAAGACTTGTCTTTACTGTGTTCTCCATGAACTGTATTTTTAAATTGTTCTTTTATGCAGTATTTTCTGTCATCATGTAGAGACTGTGCAGTCAAAAGTTTGGCTAAATCCTAGCTTCGGGTATTTTTAAGCAACCTCTCAGGACAAAAAAATTGGTTATAGGAAAAAAAACAAAAAACAAAAAACAAACAAACAAAAAAAACCAACAATAAAAACAGTATAAAGGTCAACTAAAGGACAGCGATAGGCAGTTACAAGTTCAGTGGTCATACTTGGCAAGGAATGGAAAAAGAGTAGGGGAAAGGAGAAAGGAAAGGAGAAGGGAAGGGGACAGAGACTAACAACCTCTCAACTGACTTGCAAAGAGCAAAAGAAATAGAAATCATAGGTCAGAGAAAACTCCAACCTCAGGAGACACTGGTTTTAAGCTTCCTTCTCAATGTTGGACATAGAACACAGAATGTCTTTCCAGTAAAACATCTAAGCAATTATTCCAAGACTTAATGTGGAGTGTACTTAAAACTAATTCATGTGAAAATCAGTGGGTTGTTGTCATGTGGCTTGAAAGCATGATTGGTCCTAAAAGTATTAAACTTCACTTGTGAAAGACATGTTACTTTCAGACAACAGAGAATTATTTAGTATCCTTTTTTTTTATTATTAATTTGAGATTACATTTGGGAATAACAAGCTTGGTGGCAGTAACTGTGATCTCAAATGAGGTTACGAAAAAAAAGAAAGAGCTCCTCTGTAGCGCATTTTTTATCTTGTTACTTTGTCTTGTCATAAATTATAAGTAGGTGTTGAATTCTGGAATTCCATTGCATTTCTAGGTTTGAAATAATTTTTAAAGTGTGTCCTAAACTAAAAGCCAATTCACATTTTGAGAAAGAGGAAGTAATTTGGGACAGAAAGTAGGGACAGAGTCAGCAAATTTTGTGAAATTAGACAAAATTTGGACAAAATAGGAAATGTTGCCAGACAACTGTTATGTTTACAAAAGCAGTTGCATTCGATTCTTAAAACTTACAAACTCCTTTTAACAGTTCTAAATGATCTAGTGTTTTTACTATATGTAATATTTTTCTAACCAACCAAAATTTAAGATTTACTTTGATGTTCATGGCAAAAATCAAAATATCAAAAATCAAGTCATACTACAAGCTGTGTACAGTTATGATCTTCTAAGCAATTTGGCACAGATTAATTTGCCTCAATTCAAAAATGCATGCCTTTTGGAGTCTTACAGTGAATATAGCAAGAAGAGATCATAGAGCTGGGATACTCTATGTATGTGTATGTGTGTGTATATTTGTGCATATATTTCTTTTTGAAAAATACATATATGTGTCTATATATACATATGTGCACACACACGTGTTTTATATACATATGTGTATATATATATATATATATATGTGTGTATATATATATACACACACACACAGAGTTGACTTCCTCACCAGAGAGGGATTTCATAAGCAATATTATTTCAATCATATATAGTCTCGCTTCAACATACAATAGCTTCAACCAAGTCATTTTGAACTTATTTTTCTACTGATCTAGGCCTGTAATTCAGATAAGTAAAACAGCAGTAGCCAACATTTTGTCTACAGATGACTTAACAGTTTTTAGGAAGTGATTGGAAGGTGTTAGGTACCGGTTCCCTTTCCTATTCTGTGCCAGCCCTCCATCTACTGGGTGTAGCTATTAGATGCTAGATGAGCAAACAGTCTCCCTCTCTGCACCCTTTATGTAATGGACTGGCATCCAGCTTTGTGACTGGATATACAAGGAGCCTCCTAGCTGTGACCTCCTGTGTGACATATTCCCTCACTTGTCATTTCCTACATTGTTTCATCAGTGTACTTCCATTCAAGGGCTCTTAGGAAACAGCCTGGCAGGAATGAGGCTACTCACACCATTCTCTTTTCACATCTTGAGGGAGCTGGTAGCAGGCAGACGTTGGCTGAAGTAGTTGTTTGTTCAGCAGGGAGGTTCGTCTGTGACCCACTTGTTGAGAACCTAGGAGAGCAAGGAGTGATGGAATACAAGATGTTTTGGAGTGGTAACTTGTTGAAAACAGTGCTCAAGATCCTGCTTACTGCATGTCTTGGATCAGAGATGACTCCAGAGAGGTCAAGGAAAGGATTCAAGTCCTGAATGAGGCTGAGAGCTTGACTGAAAATCTCTAAGGACAAAGTTGTTTGTTATGACATTGTGGGTAGGCTTGAGTGAAAACTAGGCTTGAGTGACAACTTCTTTTTTAAGCCACAACACTTGGACCTGTAAAATGAGTTTGGAATCTGCATTTTCTCTTGCGTCTGTACTTATGAGAATGAGTTCTCTGAGTCTGTCTTACCAAAGCATTTCTCCTGGATTTGTTATTGGAAAGGAAGCGTGTGCTGTCCTGAACCATTTTTTACTCTTCTTGATGTTTGTGAGACAAGGAACAGTTTTAGTTTGGATGGGCCAGTTCAGAACTAGTTACTTTATTTGATGCATTTATTTGATAGCTTATGAAAGCTAATTGGGTGTTTAAGCACTGAAAAACTGACAGAATTATTGAGTTGAGATAATTTTTTATTTTCTTAATAGTGAATTTTGATAAAGAATCTTCAACGTGAAATTCTCTAGTTTCTGGTCTTGCATGTACATTTTATTAAAGCTGTGTTTCTTGTGTCAACAAAGCAGTAGTTTTCTAGTATATACATAAGGTCAGTTAACAGCTGGACCTTTGTAGAGAGCACCTCTATATTTCATGTCTCATACTGCCATCTAAGGGCCACAAAGGCTGAGAAGGTGACTAAAGTTCCTTTAATGTTTTCTGCTTACCGCTCTTCTTTTTGGGAAGTCAACAATTCACGAGTGAAAGGATGGGCAAGGAATCATAGCAATCACAGCAGACTCTTGGTGCTAAGTATTGTTTCAACTGAGGGCACAGATGAATCTTCTAGGAATCTGGAGTAAATGGAAAATCAGAATGTAAATCTGAGTTGTAGTCTTTTAGGAAAATGTTATTGCAATGAGTCTGTGTAAAAGTGAGTAAATAAGAAAGTGAAATTCATTGGATTTTAGATTTCTCTTCAATTAACTTGCTTGTACGATCATAGAATGGTTTGGCTTGGAAGAGACCCTAAGGACCATGTAGTTCCAACCATTCTGCCAAGGGCAGGGACATCTTGCACTAGATGGATCAGGTTGCTCAAAGCCCGATCCAACTGACATTCAACACCTCTAGCAATGTGGCATCCACAACTTTTCTAAGCAATCTGTTCCAGTGCCTCACCACTCTCAGTGTGAAGAATTTCTTCCTGATGTCTAGCCTAAACCTACCGTCTTTTAGTTTAAAGCCATTGTACCTTGTCCTTAGTCCTGAAGAATTTCAGCTGAAACTCTTAACGGTGCAGGAGTGTGCTGTTCAGAGTCTCAAAGGTACCAAAGTCCTTGATTCATAATAATGTAACGATTAGTACTTATAATGAGAAATTATTCACCATGGTTATCCTTAAAATGATACAAAATCAGATAAACTATTTTTTTCCTAACTTTGCTTTCATCCTTTTTGTATTTGAGTGTTTCCATTTTTCTAGACTTTTGGAAAATTGTCAAAAAAATTGATGTTAAATATTAAATAGCATGAGTTTAAGCGTTCAAAATTTTATCAGGAAAGCTTTTGTTTCCAGGAAAAAAGAATGCTGCTTTTTGTTTGTTTTTAATCTGAAAACTGTACTTCTATAGGCTTAATTCCACAGCATCTTTCTCACCCAGATGTTTTAAACTACAGGTATGATAAGGTTTCAGTATTTGCTGATAGGGTGCTGTGTTGACATCAACAGACTGAAGTAGCTGTTGTAATGAGGACCCCTTTGAGCAAAACTCTATTTTACAATATATGAGTTGTCTTTCAGGCTAGTTTCCAGCAAACCTTGTGTAATAGAGAAAGTAATTAATCTTGCATGTTACTTTGACAGGCTCATGCAAGCAAAGACCTGGAAGAGCAGTTGCGATCTGTGTCCAGTGTGGATGAACTCATGACAGTACTTTACCCAGAATACTGGAAAATGTTCAAATGTCAGTTGAGGAAAGGAGGTTGGCAACACAACAGGGAACACTCCAGCTCTGACACAAGATCAGATGATTCATTGAAATTTGCCGCAGCACATTATAATGCAGAGATCCTGAAAAGTAAGTGCAAGATATAAAATAGGTTGTAATATGCAATAAATTAAAATCCAAAGGCATGTCAGTTATGTCAGCAATATGCTAAAGATAATCATCATCAATAAACCACCCTCAAACACAATTCTTTTCCACAGAAGTAGTTTTGGTACTTTATTCCCAGGAAGGTATAGATTGCTTTATCAGCTCAGTAAACGTATTTGTCTTTAGGTATTAGAAATCCTAATTTGTAGAGACTGTGAAGATTTTTGGAAAAAGCAAAGGGAGCGTTAACAGTTCAATTCAGTGAAATGATTTTGCTCACTTTCTGTAAAATCGTGGCTGATAACATTTTTTTCTCTGACACGTTATCAGTTAGGAGATGAAATAATTCATTTGTAATAAATACTTCTACAGCCCGTTGATATTTCACATGGCCTGATTAAAAATATAATTCGCTCACAATTGTGAGGAGAAGGGAACACAGGATTTATAGCAATCGTTTTTGACTTGATATTGGAAATCATGGACCTTCGCAGAGCCTGTTTTCTGTGAATTGCCTACCAACAACTGGCTCCATGAGAGAATAAAGGGACTGTACAACTGCAGTTCTCATGCCTATTTAGCATAAGGTTATATTTGGCAAAGGCTGTATATGAAATGTTTGCCTAAATTTGCATTGATAATCTGGGCATAAATATGGCCTTTCAGCTTAACTCATGTTAATTTATAGAGATGTGCAATGCTTCCCTAGAGTTCAAAGTAGAACTCACCTGAAGCAAAAAAGAAAGGACAAGTATCAGCTTCAGCTGTGGTTTCTGTGTATCTGCCCAACTTTGTTAGGTTCCCTCTAAGCATCACTGTGACATCTTCTCCATGGCACATTCCTGTGAAGAAGAAATTAGCTCAAAGTTAACGCTGAACAACATGCATTTCATCCACTAAAGGATGAGACACTTGCAACACATATTCTGATTCTAAGCATGAAAATCCTCCTATTGATTTACTGTAAGAGAGTATTGTTTTTAAACAGCTGCTTTATAACATACAAAATTCCCTATAACTTGGCAGGTATTGATACTGAATGGAGAAAAACTCAGTGCATGCCACGTGAAGTGTGTGTGGATGTGGGGAAAGAGTTTGGAGCAACTACAAACACCTTCTTTAAACCCCCGTGTGTATCCATCTACAGATGTGGAGGTTGCTGCAATAGTGAAGGACTCCAGTGTATGAATATCAGCACAAATTACATCAGCAAGACAGTAAGTTCTCATTCTTACTATAGTCCACATGCACCTTGCAGATCCATTTATGATCATGCATATTTACATCTCTCTTATTGCCACTATGAGAAAAGTGAATAAATGAATGCCAGAATACCTAGGAAAAACAGCTGGAAAAACTACTGGCTGAAAAAAAACCACAACCTTTAACATTCTCTTTCCCCAAATATACTTTGCTTAAAAATAAATAAAATTATTATGTCCAGTTCTCATTTATGAGATTATCCATGAAAGTTAATTCTGTCCTTTTTTTTTATTCTTTTTCTTTCTCTTGTTTTGCATTTACTATTTGCCTGCTGTGTGACGCACGTAATGTCTGGAAAACTAGCCTGCAGTTTTGTTAGTGAAAAGTGTATTAGGACATGTGCAGACAGGATTCATGTTGCAGAAAGAGCCTTTTTAGAGCCAAACTTTGCTATATATTATGAGATATTAGTGTAATCTAGCTTTCTGTTGTGTTTTCATGTAACTTCGTTGGACTAGATCAGGGCTAGTGAGCAGGTAGGAATGTGGGAATTATGCCTTAAACTTCTGTTAAAGGAAAGATGTCATCTTAAGTCATGTAAAAAAATAATCACAATGTTTGTGAGAGTATTTTGCTCTTGTTACAATATTCAGTAGAGTTTTGTGGTGGTGGTTGAGAGTTTTTTCCTCTTCTATCTAATTTCTTCATTAAAAAAAAAAAAAAAAAAAAAAAAAAAAAGAAAGCTCATTTACTGTAAATCTTGCTTCATTTTCCAACCAGATACTTAAAGTTGAATATCGTAGTATGTGTTTATAAAACATATATACAACTGCATAGGCAGCTACTAACTACTAGGTTGGAAATGTCATGTCCCTGTCATGAAAGTTCTCAGTGCTCTGAACCTTCTTGAAAGGGGAATTAAAAAAAGAAAATTACAGGAAAAAGTATTATTCATTTTAAATAAATCTTCTGTATTCACTTCTCACCAAACCTGAAATTTGAAAATTTTTAAATCCCAAGTGAGCTAGGGCTAAAGAGCCACATAGCACAGGGATAATGCAACTCCAAATCGCTTGAGCAGGAAAAGTTACAACAGTGATAACTCTCAGCTCTGTAGTTATTTCCCCTAATGCTGTCCTAATTCTAGTTGCTTGAAAGATGCAAATATATTTTTTTCACGTTAAGAACGAACAAATATGACCCTCTATTGTTATTCAGTTTATATAAAGTTTACCTTACTGCAAGAAAGGATGACCTAGTTAGAGAAAGTTGTTACATTTAGCAAAGGTTTTCTGGTCTTGGAGTACAGCGTAAGTTTTGGGTAAATAATCCTTTTCTATTCATCTTTCTTTTCATATCTTTTGAGTGAAGTCATTAGTCATTTTGTTGCCTAGAGTAAAATGTTTAGACTAGTACTGAGTTTCTTTTTTTAAGTTCTTGATGTCATTGATGATACAGGAGTAATTAAAGTATTGAAAGCTCTGTAAAGGAAAATGTTACAGGACTTATGAGAAGAAAGAGGCAATGGTATTTTGTTTTCTTGCCTATCCTGCAAAATAATAATAATCTCTGCATTTTATATCTTAGGTTTCCCGATTCTGTCTGGTTTTTGACAGAATGAATTTAAAAAACAAACAAACAAAAAAAAAAAAACCAACAGCCTTATAAAGAAAGCTATAGCTATCTCTCTTTACCTGGTGTCATCTCAAATTCATTAAAGTTATATGACCACAGACACTGGGTACTATGTCAGATGAGCATTAGGAAGAAAAAAGTACTGGATTCAAGGCTCTTCTATGGAATTCAAGTGCCCTGCACACTTATTTTCACTACTGTTTCCTTCTGTTTCCTGCATGAAAGGAGAACAAATGCTTAGTAGCCAGTTGTTTTCTGTTTATTCATAAGTCACCATTTTTTGTACCCTTATTTTTGGTGTGTAAATTCCTGAAGACAAGTCTCACACTGATCGCCCTGCTGAAAAATGATTTAATGTGAAGCAAATTTTTCAGCTGGAGGTCTTACTGTGAAGGCAAACCATAGCATTGGTTCCAGACATTAAAATCTAAGTAAAGTTAATATCAGCTTTCATCAGAATTAGTCATAAAGAAAAGAGCTCATTACAGAAAATACTTTTATGGAGAGCAAATGGCTGATTGGCAGGAAAATGGACTAGATCAGATGTTCCCAGATTGACTTGTGAAACAGTGTGGTAGTCCAGAGAGAGGTCAACAGTTCTTTAGATCTGGCAGTAGTTCTAATGTTCCTCCTTTCTAGCTACTTAGCTTTCTTAGGAGAAAAAATAGAAAAATATTCAGCTTTGTTTTAATACAGATTGTTTCAACAAAATCTGTGGGTTTTTTAGTTGCTAAGGAGAGTTTATACAATCTTGGCTGGGTTTTGAAACAATTTCTTAAATAAGATGTGGTACAACATCTATGACAACATTTGAGGATCACCCTAGTCAAATTTGAAAAATGAAGTAGATCTTTTTCTTCTTCTTTATCCATGACACTGCAATAGCACAGGTTAGCAGAGGTTTGTTGTATGTCTTGGCTTGTCTAATAAAGGTCTGTGGGGAAGGTGATTGGATGAGTCATTTTGGGGTTTTGATTGTTTTTTTTTTTTCTAAATTGTTATCGATAAAATATTCATTCTCTTTTTACATGGCAAGTAATTCAACAATTACAGAGATGGGAACTACCTGGTGCAAATGCAGCCTATCCCTCAGCTGTACATTTAGTATGCCCCACCTATAAGTTCTTTATTTGTGGAATGAAGGGAAGCAATGAGCAGATGTCAAAAAGCCATCTCATTCCATTCTTCTTGGCTGGCAGAATGGAAGTTTTTTGGCTTCTTACAGATCATGTCATGTAAAGGTCCCAAATCGTCTTTTTTCATGTTTAGAGTAATAGTTCCACAAGGGAAAACATCTTTCCAAAGAGTTTGAAATGAGATTTAGAGGAGCTTTTCTCACAGGAAACAAGCTAGCAGCTTGAAATTGTTTGCCATATTTGAAATGCACATTGCGTTCCTTTGTACAACTTGGAGATGTATGTAACACAAGAATTTTCACTTGTTTTGAACTTTACCATTTATGTCTTTTCCCATGCATTTTTCTATGTTAGACTAATGATCATAATGATAGAGTAACTACTATTAATAGTGGAAGATAGATTGATATTCAATCTCTAATGTTCTCTGTTAAAATTTCTTGAAAAAAAATCTGAACTGATTCAAATACAAGAAGGTAGAAGGGGTGATAGCACATTAACAAATATGAAATACAAGATTTTATATAAGCTACCTGATATCAGACATAAGTTTTGAAATACAGTTGTTGGTATTTTTTTTTTTTTTTTCAAAGAAGATAGTAAAATATATAATGATAATACAAGATTTTTCACATAACCTATTTTCATTCTTTTCAGTATAGTAATGTTTAGTGTTTTTAAATCAAACAGCTCTATATCCTTAGCTTGAAAATCTCTTTAGACACATTGCGCTTTCTTAGGCAGGCTATGTTTGGCTGGCCTTACTGATGCTTTAGGAAATGCAAAGATCACAAGTAATGGAAACTGAATCAATCAATTTAAGGGAAATCTGCCAAAACAAACTGCAATCCATCAGAAAACATAATGTAGTTAATGTAAATCTGGGAAAAAAGTAGTACCTCTCCTGCAGAGAAAGGCTGGGGTAGCTGGGGGTGTTCAGCCTGGAGAAGAGAAGGCTCTGGGGAGACTTGACTGAAGTTTTCCACTACTTGAAAGGAGCTTACAAACAGGAGGGAGAATGACTTCTTATATGGTCTGATAGTGATAGGACCAAGGAGAATGGCTTTAAACTAAAAGAGGGGAAATTTAGATTGGATGTGGAGGAAATTTTTTACTTGGTGCGTAGTGAGGCACAGGAACAGGACACCCACAGAAGCTGTAAGAGCCCCATCCCTGGAGGTGTTAATTTACAGCCAGGTTGGATGGTGCCCTGGGCAGCCTGAGCTGATGGGTGGCAGCCCTGTCCACGGCAGGGGGATTGGGATTGGGTGGGCTTTAAGGTCCATTCCAATTCTGTAATCTAGACTGATAAACTTCTCTCATCTTAATATGGAAAGTTTTGTTATATTTCATAAATTACTGATAAATTTGTGTGCTGATACAGCTGCACGTATGATGATAACAGTGAATAAATAAATTTAGCTACTGAAGCAATGAAATATACTTTGTATAGAAATCAAGAACTATTTTTCTTCCGGAAAGTATGGCATGAGCTCCTATTAATCTGAAGGGAGTTGTCAATGCAGTGAATCAAAAATACATGTCTTAATAAGAATTGGTGACCATTACCATATGTGAATTTTTCTTTGACTGGAATGCTGATAGGTTTTTTGATCAAGAGTAGGAGAGTCCTCTCCACTGCTGGATTTAATTTTTTTTACAGTTAAAATCACTCTGAGTTCTAGTTTGCCCCCATCCTTGTTTCTGTAACTCCAGCTCTGTAAATGAATGAAGGAAGAATTCCAGCAGTGTGGGAGCTGGAAGCAGCCAGCCACATGGCAGTATATGTGGGACACAGTTCTAGCCAGGAAGATCTTGCAAGGGTAGCTGAAGGAGCACCCTTCAGGTTGGAAAGGAGACTGTTGCACTTGGCATCACAGTAATTGCAGATTGTGGAGTGCTAAAGGTCAAGATGGCTTGGATGGAACAAGTCAGAGCTATCTTTGCCTTGTATCCTCTGGCTGTTTCTCACCTAAGAAGTACAGCATAGAGCATATGTTCCTCTGTTTCTGAGGATTTAAAAACTAATTTACATATAAAAGAATTAAAGTTTAGGGAAAAAATGGGTTTTAATAGCATTCATGCTTCTAGAAAGGATCGAATTATTCTCTTACCTCTGTGTTTGTCTGAAAAGTAGTGTAATTGCATACCTCTTTGTACCAAGAGACAGAAAATACCAGCAAGAGAAGCTGACATTGAGATCTGTAGGACATGCTGCCTTTTAGTTTAGGCTGGTACAGTGGCATGAAGGTTAAGTATTAATTAAGCCAAAAATACACCTGATTACAGGCTGTGTTTGAGAAATTACAGGTCTCCTCAACTCCTCTGAACAACAACAAAATCAGACTTTTCAAGCCTTTTAAAGTACAAATTGTATTTGTATTTCAGTGCTGCGCCTTGCAAACAGAATGTGTTTTAATATTATACATATTCTAAAATTAAGATATGAGTTGAAGATGGATAGGTATCTTTTCCTGACATTGAAGGATTTATGAAATATATTGGATAGTGAAATATCTACTTGATTTTTATTTTTTATTTTTTTGCTAAAAATCAGTACTATGGAGAATAAAAAGTGATTAAGTGCCCAGATATTTATGAAAATATCTATGGACTATAACAATAGACCCTAAAGTCTGTAGTCCAAATATATGAAGAAAAATGAACCTTTCTTCATTTCTGAAAACAAGCATTTCAGTTTTGGCTAGGTTGAAAGATGTATGGTGGGATAAATATATTCAAAGTATTACCTGTAGATTTGTGATGTGTATACTTATTTATGATAGAGGTTTTCATTTTCTCTTTCTGTTCCTCTTCATTTTTTTTTTTTTTTGTTGTTGTACTCAGAAAAAATTGGACAGAAAATTACTCTTCTTTGTTTTAAAATGTCAAGATTTCTCAATCTGAGCTATCGAGTTTTTTGGTTCAAGAAGCTGTAAATACAGTATTCTTTAGTAATTTCTATGTGTAACTGTGGTTGTTTTCTATTTGTTTTCTGACCTTAATGAAGTGTTGGTAGCACACAGGTACAGAACAGTATGTGCAAGATCAGTCTATTAGGATCATTTCATATACTTTAATTTGCTGTCTCATACACTATAATTATTATTTTTCTCAAAACTGTGAGCAATAAAAGCTCTCCACCTTGAAATAACCTGACCTAATACCTACTACTATTAGATCTCTTGTTCTTTTGGAGATAGAATCTCACTCTTTGCAGTCTTTCATCTTGAATGTCTGTCTTTATTAAATGGCTCACTAAGAATAGACCTGGTAGAAATGTCTTTCACCTTACTGCATGTAGCATGAATTAGTCCAATTTTTTATTTGAAGCTGAGAAGGAGGGGAAGATATGAGCCTTTGAGCATACAGGTAAAATCAGTCCTTTACTGAATGGGGGCATCAGACCAAAACACTGGAGAGCTACTCTCCAGGAGCAGCTACCCACAGGGACGGTAGACAACCAGTGATAGTGTCAGGAAAGAAGGCAGGCTAAACTGGCTTCATACACAGATGTTATAGTGCCTTTCTCAAAGTTCTTTCTAGATCTTGATATTCGGTGGTTAGATGTTACCAAGTATGTCTTGTAGTGACAAAAGTTTTTGAAATCATTGTTCTGAAGAATAGCAAGAAATAAATTAGAGATGCTGACAAAACCAGAAAGCATCACAGGAGGTCAGATAACCTAACCTGAAATGATTTCTTGAGATGGTGATTCAAATCCAACTTATGTATATTCACTTTCACTTAAACAGCTTCATTGGATTTAGAGATGCTGCTAGCACAGCTCAGACCAGAACACTGGTTATTTTTCAGTATGAATGTGATTTCAAAATACCAAAGATTATTTAAGCACATTTTCTATAACAGTCTGCTTTTCAATTATGTTTTTCTTGTGAAATGCCTTCTTGATATTTATCTTTCCTGTTAGATATAGAAAACATGTCTCCTTTGTTCAGTATGCATCAGAATATAGTCTCCTAGTATATATGCAGACACGCTAGAAAGAGAAGGAAGAACAAGTCAACAAATCCAATTCTGTTTTTTTACTTCTGTCATTTCCATTGAGGAAGAACAGATCTGGTTCTATTGTTTTCAGAAATGCTGGCCTATGTATCATCTTCAGCAATTTCTAGAAATGAGGACCGGAGTGACACAAGTAGTATAATAATATAATCTCTAAGATAAATAGTTGTCTTTGTTTTATTGACTGTTTATAAACCGTAGCTTCTAGAGGGTATTGTAAAACACATTGCTTTTAACAGAATTTAGTAGAATAAATTGAAAGTGACCAATGAGAATAAGGAATCCAGTTTACATTTCTGTTACTTAGCGAGGTTTTTTTGTGGTGTACCAATGAATGGTAATACTTGTTGGCAACATTCATCTCTAAAGTGATACCTTTCTCATTTTAAGTGGGTGGATAAATGCAGATGAAACAGTGATAAACATGAATTCACATCTTCAGCTCATACTATGGAAGTGTTAGAATTTTTAGTGAAGTTTATGTTAGCGTATTCTTGAAGGCCAACAAGTGCTTAGGGATTGTAACCAGCATCCTACACAGCCCACTCCAGTGGTCTGGAATCTGTTAGATTTTGCAGTATGGCAAACCGACGCGCTCCAAGAACAGAGGAAGAACAAAGCATGCCCTTTTATTTCAAATAGCTGTAGCTTGTTTCATGCAACTAATCGTGCTTCTTTTCAGCTGTTTTTATTAGTCCTCTCTGTAATGGGCTTTTACTTCTGTTTTGGAGTAGCAAATTCATAATGTTATGAGAGCAGAGAGAGATGCATATTCATTGTCCCACACTTTAGTTCGTATGAAGAAGAATGTTTTTTACAAGGGACTTTATGACGCATGACAGTGCAGAAACATAGAATGGCTTAGGTTGCAGGAGATCTCAAAGATCGCCTAGTTTGAACTCCCTGCCATGGCCAGGGTTGCTACCTACTATACCAGGCTACCTAGGATCCCATCCAATCTGGCCTTGAATATGCCTCCAGAGATATTCATCCACAAAGTCTCCAGACAGCATGTCACAGTGCCCTCACCACCCTCTGAGTAAAAAATTTCTTCCTAACTTCTAACCTAAATCTCCTCTCTCTTATATTAAATCCATCCCCCCTTATTCTATCATTATCAGACTGTATAAAACATCTGTCCCTCAAGTTCTATTGAAGTACTGGAAGGCTACAGTGATGTCTCTCTGGAGCCTTGTCTTTTCCAAGCTAAACAAGCCCAAAAAGTAAAGGATCCAATATTTGTTTGTAAGCCAAAAATGAGTATAATAATAACAAAAAGTCAGTAGAAAGTCCATTTACTGAATTCTCTGTTGAACTTAATAAAAGCCCTGGAGGCTTGTCCAAATAAATATCATTATCACAGAGGGAAAAATGGATTTGCCATTCATTTAAATAGTACCAAACTTTAAACTAAACTAATTGACTTACGCCTGTACTCATTAATGATCCAGGATCAAAATTTTAAGAACGGTATTTTGCAATTGCAGCAGGAATCCAAATGTTAATATTCTTTGAAATGTCTCTCTAAAAAGAGGAATTCTTTCCATGCTAACTCCATAGAAGGGTTGTTTTTCTCTATTGGCACAGTGATTACGTGAAAAACTTTTTTTTATTTGGTTTTCCCTTCTACAGAATCAAATACAGATTAATTTTAATTTTGAGATGTTACTGGAAAAAAATTTTTAAACTAACATAATGGATGTAGTAGTTCTTGCATTAAAAGCTAATTGCATTGTAATTCTCTGTAACAGAGTATAATGCAAATATTTCTACCAACTCAGTTATTTTATGATGGCACTCCCATTTTTAAACTTTTAAAAAATTCAGTTACTAAATACTGCCAGAATTCATTTTGTTAAATAGATATTTGTCATAGTAGACAACGCTTTACAAAGTTTAGGTTTAAGCTGTATAATTTAGAATGGCAATAATATGATATTTATATGAGCTGTACAAGCACACTCATACCTTGCGGGTACTTGATGAGTACACACCACACTGCTGCACCTGCATGCCTGTCAGCACCCAGGCTCACTTGTGTAATTCTGTGCAAGATTTTGTGTTTGAGATATCTTGTAGATGTACTTTGCTTTTTGAATCATTTAAAATTATAGTTTTTTGGGGTTTTTTTCCAGTTACTTTAGCATGCAGTGTGTCTGCCATGCTATAAAAGTTATGGATTATAAACAAGGCTTTGACCTAAAAGTATGTCCTAACTTTTCAGTAGAGTATTGAGATTTTAGTCTTGAAGTGAAATCTCTTCAAGTTTTTCTGCTTTTTTTAGCAAGATACCATTGAAGTAATCTTTGTTCACTTGTTAAACTACATTTCCCACTAAAACTGGCATTTTATTCATTAGCATACATGAATATTTAAAAACTGATTATTTCTTTATGTTCTGGTAAAATATTCAATATATGTTCCATTAGATGACCATCTAATTTACATTTATATCAATACCAGAAAGAAAAACTATACTTTATGATGTATATCAACATTTCTTCATGCAAAAATGTTTTGTCTAAATCCAACATAGTGTTGTTATAAATAAGCTCTGTAAATTTTGCAACAATTTATTATTATGCAACATATATATTATTATAACCAATTGCAGTTTTTCCCTTTTAAAAATTATTCTTGTTTTCCAACTTTCCAATGCATATTCCAAGTACTATGTTTTAAATATTAAGAAGACTGGCAATTTGAAGTAATTTCCTCTAGAAGAATGAGTTCTTCATGCATTTTTCTTAACACCTTTGGTAACTTTGAATTGAATGCAGTAGTATGCAAACAGGCATGTAATAGGAGTTAACATTGAAAATATTAAATTTAATAATTTTTGTAATAATGATTTATCCGTTCAATTAAATATTTCACTGAATCATATTGAAGAAGAAAAAGCAGAGGTTAAGTTCCCAATGGCTGTGTCTATATATATATGTCTGTATTATCTTCAGTTGTACTGTTACTAGACTATAAACAAGTTCTTTTATTCTCTTTGCTTTCCCTTCTGTAGTTATTTGAGATTACAGTGCCTCTCTCTCATGGCCCCAAACCCGTAACTGTCAGTTTTGCCAATCACACGTCCTGCCGATGCATGTCTAAGTTGGATGTTTACAGACAAGTTCATTCTATCATAAGACGTTCCTTGCCAGCAACACAAACCCAGTAAGTATGAGACTTGTCTTTCCTTTCATGTTATGAGAAAGCCTATGTGATTAAATATAAAATATTGCTGGAAGCTTTCACAGTTAGGATGGGTAAACCTGTATGTATCAGTAGTAGCAAAACATATTTTGCAAAGGAGCTGATATTGTTTTACAACAAAAGACCGTTACTAAAGTAATTAGCTCAGTACCTTTCTGACCAATGTGCCAACTAGGGGTAGATCAGTAGAAAGTGAAAAGTAATGAGTTGGTTTCTCAATGGAAAGAGCTAAAGTGAAATTGAAGTGTTAAAATAAATTAAAAAAATCACTTGTAATCGTTACATTAAAGGAAAACTATCCAAAAACATTTATTTTTACAGATAAGGAGTTTGACATTTCTCCCTCAAACTGTATTTATTTTCCTTTTAAAATGAAACAGAAACAGACAAAAAGTCCTACACTTTTTAAAAGAAAAATCCTGCCAGAAGTGAAAACAGATCAGAGTGGGAAGAGGAAGTAAAGTGTTAATAAGTAGTCCATTGAACTGACAGATAGATTTGTTCAGTTAGTCCATAGGCTTGGTGATTTTGACAGGATTATTTCAGCACTTAAAGCACTCATTTCTATCATTTTAGAGGACTGAGTGTTTGATTTCATGACGAATAAATATTAAGTAGATGATGTGTAGATAACAGTCTAATGGGTCTTTATAGAAGACCAATGAATAAAAGCTCACCTGGAATTAATTGTATGCATTTTTAGTAAGGTGAATGAACAGTTTAAAACACTCATAGAAACTAGGTTGTCTTCTTTGGGTGTTTTCATTCACTTTAAGTTGGGATGTTCTCTGATGCGTTCAAGCTAAACACAGATTATATTCTGTTTGAATTCAAATTGTTGAACTGGTTCATCAAAATTTGGATCATGATTAGTGGATTAGAAGAGCATTAGGGAATAAATCTAGTGTTGGTTTAATTAATTGGATAATACACAGATTTTAAAAACTCAAAACCTAAGAGTCAATAATAAAGTCAAATTACGCTGACTGTTGGCAGCTTCTCAGTGCTTCTATGCTAAGAACAGCTGCAATTATCATGGTAAGGCTTTATTCTAGCCAGAAAACAACTACCTGTTAAAGAGAAGTATGGAGATGCCAGACTTCTGACTGTCCCATAATGCTAGATTGAACAAACTCTGTATAGGTTTTATTCTTAAGCACTGTTTTTACTTTCATTTCCAGGATCTCGAAGCAATTAAGATGCTTTTGTTTGTTTTTAATATGTTCTTTTTAAAAGAAGTCATAGCATTTAAACTAAAAGCAATTGATTGTGTTGCTAATGGGTGTCTGAACGCTTTTTGGAATCCCACTGCGTATTTTAGTGGAGGTTTTAGCCTCATGTATAGCACTCATGTTACAGGGGCAGGTCTGTATGTGCTCTTTTTAAGAGAGATGTGATGATCTCATGAATTATTGCAAAGAAAATCCTGAGAATAAACTTTTGTTTTTAGGGTTGTAATGCTTAGGATTTAGTAGTCTGGACTGTGTCACAATCCATGTTAGGAAGAAGAGAAAAACTACTTGTAAGACTGAATATAACTTGTTGACCTTTTTTTATGAAGTATATTTTCTGCACAACTTGATCATTTGAATTAAGGCCCATGGCTTTACCTGTTCTCCTACTTTATTCTATTTATTTCCTTTTAATAAGTAAGTGGTAGCTACTTCTACATACTTGTACAGCTGAGGCATGTCAGTTCATGCTAACTAGTGTTTCAGAATACCTTCTGGATTAATGACTTCTTACGCTGTATCCTTCTCTGCTTATGTAAAATTTCATTGAGATTTGCAGCTCAGAAAATTGATGCTTTGTTTTGGAAATTTGGTGATTTTACAGGCAGTAGGGGCTAGAAGTAAAGACCAGGTGCTGCTCTCCTGCTTCAATACATGTCATAGAGATCCAATTCTCTCTTTTTCCATGGTAGTGTAAGTAAAGTAGGTGCTTAGAAAGTTGATCTATATTGTAGGTGCTACATATTTCTCTCATGTGTCAGGTAATGGCTTAGCATACTATTTTATGTTGAAAATGTGAAAAGTAGTATTGAAATTTTTTTGAAAGTTTTTTGTCTGATTTTTTTTTAAGCACTCTTGAACTTTCCTAAAATAAGTCATTTTAATGTTTCAGTCATTTTCTGTAGTATCTTTCTTTCCCCTAGCAGCCAGAGAAGAACTTGTAAACAAGCAGTTTCATCCCTTTTGCTGTCGATCTCCAATTCTGATGTTCAACTTCTTGGCTTTCATATCACATTGCCTTAGTGTAGTTCATCTGTGCATAGTGTTTTCTCACACTGTCACTCTGGATGCCTTCTTTAATAAGTTTTAAACGTGTGGTATGACCAAGCTGCTCCAGGTGCAAGTTGTTTTTGTATTCAGCTTTTAAACAAAATAGCATTATAGGCCTGTAAATTCTCTGTGCCATTTCCCACGCTGAAACGGGAGACAGGCAAAAGGACATTGTGTGCCAAGCAAGGGAGCAAGGATGATCTCATTAGTGGAGTGAAATCAGGAAACACCAGCTTGATAAAGCATGAGGTGGTGCAAGGTGATGTTAAACTACAGGAAAAGAGCTGTTTAATGTGGTGAAGGGGAGTGGTATCCTTGAATGATAATCATGGAAGAATGTCTTAGCACCTGCATTTTTCAGTGGGTGAGTAATGGTGCTTCTCTCATGGAAAGGAGAAAGTGCCTAAAATGGATTATGTGTGTGTTGGTTTAACAGATGAGAATTTTAGAAGTACTACAGAAATAATGAATAGATTACAGAGCCTGGATGCATGAAATTAGGCATGACTCATTAGAAGTATAATGGCAACTGTAGTAATGAAGAAATTATAAGCAAGGAAGATCAGAAAATACTTATTCACATATCCTTTGTGTGGTGAACTTACCCATGGAGCATCATATCCTTTAACAGCTGCTGTTAGGACTTTTTAACTGTAATCTAGCAAATACAGAAAACTATATGTTAAATGGTTTATTTTCTCTCATGTCTAAAGTGACTTCATTAGTGCTGAAGTCCAAATCCTTAGAGTCGAGAAAGATGTCTGAGATTTGAGCGGCTGATAAGGAATAATCAGTTAATGACAACTTCTGTGTAAAGAAAGGATGTTAATAATTGGATTTTGGATTGGGTATGTTTTGAAGATTTGAGTTTGGTTTACAACAGTAAGTCAGAAATTACTGTCACTTATCTTATGCCTGTTTGTCAGAGTACCACCAAAAGTAATGTAGAAAATTTTGTCTGGTACCACCTATGTAGTATCTCATGTACAGATATCTTTACACTGATCCATTGATACGTAAGGTTTACATTGAAGGGTTAGAAAGCACTCACAGTGGTTTTTGGAAGCCAGAGCTAAAACTTGAAAGGTGAGATGATATCTTCAGCAAATGGTTGAACATTTCTGCACGGGGGCAGGACCTTGACTAGTTACTGATGTGATAGGAGCTGAAAGTAAGATTATGAAAGCTTTTTGTAATGGAGGGAAACAAATGGAAACAGCACTCAAAATCAATTTTTTGTTATTATGGCAATAAACCAGCAGTGTATTTCATTCAATAGGTGCCACGTGGCAAACAGGACCTGTCCAAAAAATCATGTCTGGAATAATCAAATTTGCAGATGCTTAGCACAGCAAGATTTTGGTTTCTCTACTCACCTTGGAGATTCTGGTAAGTAGTTTTGCTTAGAGGATTAATTGTAGTTCCATATTTTGATTTGCCTAAAGAAGAAATTATAAGAGTTGATTTAAGAGGTTGATTATTTTTCTTTATTTCTAGCATTAAAGAACATTGCTTCTCTTTTGATGTATATTTGTTCCTGAAATGCCTCAAAGTATGAATTGGATGTTGTTTTTTTCCATGTAAAAATACAAGAGTAGGAGTACAAAATCAGAATCAAACAAAACAAAATTCTGATAATTGTGCAACTTTTCTGTGATTTTCCAGACACGTCTGAAGGATTCCATATTTGTGGGCCCAACAAAGAGCTGGATGAAGAAACCTGTCAATGCGTCTGCAAAGGAGGTGTGCGGCCCTCAAGCTGTGGCCCTCACAAAGAATTAGACAGGGCATCATGTCAATGCATGTGCAAAAACAAACTGCTCCCCGCTTCCTGTGGGCCCAACAAAGAATTTGATGAAGAAAAGTGCCAATGTGTATGTAAAAAGACCTGTCCCAAACATCAGCCACTAAATCCTGCAAAATGCATCTGCGAATGTATAGAATCTCCCAATAAATGTTTCTTAAAAGGAAAAAGATTTCATCACCAGACGTGCAGGTAAAAATTCAGTTCTTTAGCCTTTTTAATCTATCTAAAGTATAAAATTTGTGGTTACATTGTTAGCTGTTTTATTGAATCGTTTTGTAGCCACAAATTGTAAGCCTCTCTTAATTCCGTCTTTATCTTCCATATCTTTCATTGACCCAAAAATAAGCTGTTACTTACATAGACTGAAGCAGCACGAAGTAATGTTACTCTCTTAGTTACAAAGACCACACTTGTGAAATAATCCAGGATTATTAGCACTGAAAACACTGAACAAGATATGAATAGTTAATAAATGCCATATTTGCAGCTTCCTCATTCCTTGTTGCTTTCTTCATAGCTCATTGGTTGAACTAACCAGTTTGAAGTAACTTAACTGTAATCCAGACCTGGTATCATAAACAAATTATTGCAAAGTGGTATCCAAATCAAGCATGCAGCGTGTTAACTTACCCGTAGGAATAACAAGATTAGCCTCAAGCCTGAAAAAAAATTGCCTGGGGAAAAAAAGGATTATGAAATTGTCTTAGAGTATACTGTAGTGGTTTCGAACTGAAGCTAGCAATAGATCATAACGTCTGTCTTTCACAAACAGGCACCTATTTAAATACAGGTTTCAAGTATAACTGTTGAAATTTGAAACTTATACTTTTCTCATTTGAGTCATTGCCAGTGTCTGGACAAAAAAAACCACACCAGACTTGTACTTTATCTCCATTATACACTAGAAAGTATTTAGCATTGTTATTGTAAGGTTACTTTAGGTCGCATTCTCATTGTAATAGAATAAAAGAATAAAAAAAGGGAAAGGAAGAGGAGTTCAGGGACAACCACAGATAACTATCTTTGTATAAGTTCTATTCTTCAGTCAAGGAGAAATTGTCCCCTTTTTTAGGTATGTATGCTTTAATGCTTGTTGTCATTGAACTTATTTGAATCTAAGAGAGGCTTTTCTGTTCTTTTTTTTTTTTTGTGAAGTTTGTCTTAAGCATGTAGTCACTGATCTTACTTCAGAATGCACATAGATGTAATATGAAGTACAGATGTAGTGCTACTGAAATCAGAGAGTAACTGAAGGAGTTTACTACCTGAAGGAAGTATGTTCTCATTTTCAAGATCATAGTTATGATGTGACATAAACATACATACCATAAACAGGGTAATGCACGCCCACTGCATTAGTAAAGAAGTAAGAAACAGTTCTGGGTAGGAAAACAGCAGACACAACTATCAACCAAGTCTGGATTTCCACCTCAAGCTTGACAGGATAGAGAATGGTTAGCTGATTGCAAACCAATTTAGAAGCAGAAAAATATTACTCTATCTTCAAAATTAGAGGGGAAAAAAACAAGGTTTGAATGGAACTACAACCAGGCAATACTTCAAAAATATTCCTGAGAATCTCTTGAAATAAACCTGCTTATCTACAATAATATAGCATTGTGTTTTGTGAAGAACAGACCAGCTAAAAGTGGTTGCAAGAATATGATAGCTGCATATTAATGCCCACTCTTTATTTTTTCAGTTGTTACAGACCGCCATGTACAGTCCGAACGAAACGCTGTGATGCTGGATTTTATTTCAGTGAAGAAGTGTGCCGCTGTGTACCCACATATTGGAAAAGACCTCTTATGAATTAGTGAAGAAAGCTACTTGCTATTTTGGTGTACATTTTTTCCATTAGAACAAAAGAACAACAGAAACTTTGCAAATACTTGGAATTTAATGTTCACCAGAGACCCTGTGGGGCTTTCACAGACAAATACATTGTGCTTTTCTCAAGATGTGGAAAGCAAATGTAGAAAATAACTGGGGTTCATGTTTTATAAAGAACTCAGTAAGGACTTATTTTCTGCCAATGACCAAACAGCCTAGGTTCTACTTCTTGTGATTTTTTTTAAAGAGATAATGACTATATAATTTATTTCCACTAAAACCATTGTGCAGCATTTGTTTATAGCAGTAACAATTGTTAAAGCTCACTGTGATCAATATTTTTATATCATGCAAAGTATGTTTAAAATAAAATGGAAATTGTATTATATAATGATGAGAACGTTTGATCCATCTGCCTATGGAAGGGAACTACAATTCGTCTACATTACCAGAGCTCGAAAAAAGGAGAGAAAGATATTAAGAGAAAGCACTTGTATAAGAAAAAAAATTCAGATGTTTCCTTGGAGCTGTTGTATATAGCATTTGAAATACAATGAGTTAATATTTCATAATCCAGTGATACTTCGTCTTTGGAATAAAATCAGCAAAGCAAGAACAGTTAGTAACTAATGAAAACATTGCAGATCTTGCACGTACCTTGTGCAACCATAAGGTCCACAGCAACTAGTTGTGTTCCAAAATGTACGTTCTTTAATTTCTTGTTGTCCTGGTTTTATCAGTATTCCATATCGTGACATCATGCAGCAAGCTGTTTGGTGCCGGAGCGCTACGATTCCCGGGTCCTGTGCTCCTATCAGTCTCAATTATTCTCACGTGAGTTCTGGCTTTCTGAGAGGAAGATAACTGAGAAGAGACAGACTACGCTTCCCAGACGACAGTTTTCCAGTACTCACGTGATTTCCAGTTCTGGGTGATGGGGCAGAGCGCTCTCCCCTTCCAGGAGGCCAGCTGTGAGTATCTGCTTATAAAGACTTAGACTCTGTCTGTCTGTCTCTGTAATAGTGTTGAACATTGCTCTGTAGACATGAGCCAGGCCCCAAATAATTTGTTCCTCCTTAGATTTGCTGAGGCTGCAACCATGCTGTCTTAAAGCTGCCTAAAATTTAGGGTTCTGTAGGTGTCCAGGAGTGAAACTTTAACACACCAGGGCTGCCCATTTCTCTAAGGTCTCTCCGAAGTCCATCCACACTCCCTGCCATTCAGTGTTCTCTGGATTTGGGGGAGGCTTTCTCCAGATACTGTAAATACAAATACTGAGTAAAATGATGTGGAATGATTCAGGGAGTTTCACAGCATGATTATTGACCAAAAATTTCAAAAATGTGTAAAGGAATTGAAGGAGAAAGTGGAAGCTTGGTTAAAAGTCACACGTTCTATAAAATAATTATTAACTCCCGCTGGGGCATAACCTCCAATGTTAAAATCATACCATATTGTATATAGACTCCAGATATATGTTTCCACCAAGTGATTATAATTTTTATACACGCTAACAGCCATAAAGAGCAAAGTGACAAACTTAAAAAAGACCCAGAACATTCTAAGTACCACAACCTGAAACATGATAGAATGTAATCCCTTAGCAAGTTGTATTAAAAGGGATAAAATCAGTTTCTTTTTTTTCTTTTAAGCTATTAAGAGCAAGTTGGCAAGGTGTCAGAAATAATAAAGAATAATATAAAATAAATATAAAATAATGATCTATTGAAAGTTATTACTACGAAAGTTAAAATGCCATCATCCTTTCTATGTTAGTATATATAGTAAAGGCTGTATACTACTAAAATAATTCAGAATGCCTTGATGTAGTTTTATTCTATCATAGAGTCAGTCAGATATCCTGGTCAAAAATCTGTGTGTAAAAAAATAATTTGAAGGAACACATTTTATACTATGCTGGGGACATGAAAGGGTTTCCACCAGTCCAGTATGGATCAACATCTTGTCTGCCTAAAAAGTTGTCAGGACTTCTCTTTGTTAAAGTGAGTGCAAAATCAAGCATCTACAACTCTGGGAAAAAGGTAAGACTTTTAACTTGTATGGTAATAACAGTGCATATAGAAAATCCACTCAAAATTAAAATGTTTCAGAAATTGGAAGGGATTTGTTAAATTACACAAAATTTATTGTGTATAGAAATCAAGCAAAGCAAGATTTTTGTAGTAGTGGGAAGATCTACTAAGATATATTTAGATGTCATTATTTTCAAGTACTGGTTCTAAGCAGCAGCTCTTCTCTTTTTTTAATAAGATGGTAAATAGTACTTCCAGTTATTTCCTACATTGTTGAGGTTTACTTTTCTGGATAATTGCACGCTCAGATAGCACAGCTCTTTAAACTGTTTTAAATAAAAAACCACCTATTTATTATTTAAACAGCATGAAGTTTAGGCATACAAATACTGAGGCATATCTTTATTACTGTATCGCCTCAGCAATCAAATGCAGGTTGAACTCCAGCTGAAAACTTTATGATAATACAACCAGACTCGACTTCAGTTAGATTGTTAGTCATGCAAAGCAGCAGTGATTAAATTGACAATGAGAGCCTAATAGCAAGAGACCAATAGCCAGAACTTCATCCAGTATTACTAAAGATCAAAAAATCTACTTCTATGTCTCAGCAGCTTAAAAAAAAAACAACAACAAAATACCCTAAGAAATCAATTCAAAAGCAATTGTTATGAAGATTTAAGTGAAAAAACTGTAGGTGAAGCTCCTGGAGTAAGCTTCCTAAATTCTATTAACGTCCAATATAGAAGAGAAGAAAGAATCAAAATCTGAAACCAGGAACAAAAGCCAAGTAATCCAATATCTAACAAGTTAGATAATACACAGTTGTGGTTCAAAAGGAGGAGAACACAAGCAACAACAGAGCAAAACCGCATTCCAGCAAGTATGTAGATTATAAAAACTGAATATTTTTATAAAATATATAAAATATATTAAAAAAAAAAAAAAAGCAAAACAAACCAACAAATGACCACCAAACAGAGCAATGCTCACTTTAAATAATTTGAAATGCATTCAGTAAAACAAAAGAGCTAATAAAAATCATTCTATTGCAGCAAATATTTGGATTTCTACTGAAGACGATATTCTAAAGCTGCTCTCCAAAATGAAAGTTACTTTCTTGAATGCATTTTTAAAAAATTTATAACCTGGAGGACTTTTGAACATTGTAAATCACTAAGAAAAACTAAGATATGAAGAAAGCAAAGACTTGGCTTTTGAAATATGTTACAAATCAGATTTATGTTTGAGCAGTGGACTGGCCAGGAATTCTTAAAGATATACAGATAAGCAGAATAAGACACGAATGCAATTGATGGCATTTTTGGGTAATCATGCTCTCCTTCCTTACATCAAACATATAGAAGAGCTGATAGATTTACAGCATTTCCAGATTGAGGTATTATTTCATTTTAATCTTGCAATTTTCAGCTTCAATTTAGTCCTTAATTACCTACTCATTAAATATATTAAAAAAATAGTAGATGTACCCTAAAAATATGGGTGATAATCATATATACAATTTATTTTGCACTAACTCTGCAATAAAAACTTTATACTGCCATTTTTGTAAAAACAAACAAAAAAAAACCCATCTACCATCTAGAAAAAAAATACAGGGAAAAGAAAAAAAGACTGCAGTCAATCATGCTTAATAGTAAGCAGGTTAATGCTTACACTGCATCAGGAATTTACAGCAGTTCCTGTATTTTTTCAATTATCATAACTGTATAGAGACCATAAAAAGCAGCATCTCTCTACCTTGATTAACAGAAGGGCATACAATTTACAATATGAACATTGTTAGTGCTCAGCCATGTTTGTTTAATTCATGTTAAACATGCTGATGTTAAATCAATTCTCTTAGATCCACTTACAGGACCAGTATGAAATCTTGTATGCCTATTGGAGTCATTTTGAAAGGCTTAGCATTAGTATTGCTTTGAATATTTTCATTTTTCAGTCTTCAAATCCCAATGATAACTTCAGATGCCTTTGAATTTTAATGAATTTTAACATCATTCTCTGTAATTTCCTGGCGTAATACATAGCTATCACATCTGTTCCAAAAGCTAGAAATGGACTCATAGAATCATTGAGGTTGGAAAAGACCTCTAAGATTGCCTAGTCCAACCATCCAGACACCACCAAAATTACCCACTAAACCACATCCCTCAGTAAAACCATCTACGCATTTCTTGAAAAACCTCCAGGAATGGTGAATCCACCAGCTCCCTGGCAGCCTGTTCCAATGCATTACCACACTCTTGGAGAATTTTTTCCTAATATCCAACCTGAACATCCCCTGGTGATGCTTGAGGCTATTACTTCTCATCTTATCTCTGTTACCTGATGAGAAGAGACCGGCTCCCAGTTCACCATAACCTTCTTTCAGATGGTAGTAGTAGTAGAGGGCAGTGTCTCCCTGTGAGCCTCCTGTGAGCCTCCTCTTCCGCAGACTGAACAATCCCAGTTCCCTCAGCTGCTCCTCAGAAGATGTGTGTTCCAAACAATGTTTCACAGTTTCGTTGCCCTTCTCTGGACATGCCCCAGGGCCTCAATGGCTTTCCTGTAGTGAGGGACCCAAAACTGAACACCATACTTGAGGTGAGAATATGCAATCAAAAGTAAGCTCACAAACAGATTTAATATAATATAGTATGTATAAATATGTATAAATATATAAGAATATATTATAAATATAAATATTCTATAAATATAAATATTCTATTAATCAGACTAAAAATTTTTTTTAACTTATTTGAAGGTATAGAACATTGATTGTGCTCAAATAGTTTCAAGGCAGACAAATCAGAGTTTTCAACTTTTGTAATTTAGTCAATATTGTATAGTCGTAATTTATAACATCAAAGGATTACTACTTAATTGGGAAAAAAAAAAAAAAAAAAAAAAAAAGTGATATCTGATAATGTATTCCATAGATTATTTCCGTTCACTTTTCCAATTTCAGATAAAACTTGAAAACAAAAAATACAGGACAACTTTCTGACTGGGTGATGAAGTAGACCAGGTATTTAATTACTTTTTTTCTTATGTAATAAATCTGAACAAAGGTTTAAGAAAATTAGGCCAGTTTAATACAGGCTAAACACTCCAGACTACTCTAGAGTCATTAAATAGCTCTAGATAGATGAAAACATTATACAGTATCATATCTAGACTCATCTATATTTTCACATACAAATATTGTAATGGAATCTGAACAGTAACAAGCACCGAATTCACAATAGCACAGTTTCTAACATTTAAATAACTTATCATTATAAAAATGTACATTTCATCTATAGTCTGCAACTATGAAGCAGGAAAGCTTAAGGTCAGGAATGCGGTGCATCAC